CTGGTGTTTTTAATTTATCTATTGCATAAGTTAGTGGCATAAGAAAATGTTATCAGTTTATCTAGGTCAGAAGGTTATAAGTGTGCCTTTTCTTTAGAGTGGGTTTATAAATTTCACAGGGCCCTTTAGTGTCAGCTAAGTATTTTATGGAGGGAGGCCATAGTATTGGATTTTCTAGCCTTGCTCTTCTTAAAACAGTTTTGTGCTAAATGATATATGAGCTGAGTGAGTTGGAAGCTTTGGTGCATGAAGAGAACTATGATTTAATTGGTATTTCTGAATCTTGGCTTCATTCTTCACAAGACTGGTCCATTAATATTCTTGGCTATGTTCTCTTTCGGAGAGACAGGGTAAATAGGAAAGGTGATGGTGTCTGTATCTATGCGAGAAGTGATCTCAGAGTGAGTGTGAAAGAGGACCTAGTTGATGTAGAGTGTGATGAGGCTGAAGTATTATGGGTGGAACTGCACATGGGAGTACATACTACAAAGGTAATCATTGAAGTTTGTTATAGGCCTCCCAGTGTTAATGAGGAGGTGGAAACTCAGCTCCTTGCACAGATCGAAAGGGCTGCAAGGGCTGGGACAGTGATAATAATGGGGCATTTTAACTACCAGGAAATTGACTGCAGAAATGGTACTGCAGGAACAGTTAAAGGGCAAACAATTTTAAACCTAATACAGGACAATTTTATGGTATAGTTCGTAGAAGCCCCTACTAGGAATGATGCTCTGCTGGACCTGGTAATCTCAAACCATGCAGAGCGTACTATGAATGTCCATATTAAAGAACATCTGGGTAGCAGTGACCATAACATGATTTCATTTATTGTTAGCTGTAAACAGCAAGCACATATGGGAAAAATAAAAACGCTCAATTTCAAGAGAGCTAATTTTTCAAGGCTAAGAGCTGCTCTCCAAGACTTAGACTGGGAGGGAATATTGGCAACGATGAACACAACACAGAAATGGGAGTTCTTCAAAAAGACTGAACACACTGCAAAATATATTCCCATGGGCAACAAGTGTAGCCTCCCTGGCGGTATTCCCGAGTGTAGCTCGGGGTAAAGTTTCAGTACCAAAAGCGGTAACCCCGAGCTACACTCGGGCTTACCATGCAGCACTGCTCTGGGATCCCTCGATCACTTACCTTGTCCTGCGCTCCCGCGATGTCCCTCCTGCAGTGTCCCCTGTAATGTCCTCCGGTGGATGCCAGCATCTGTCTTCTGGGTTCCGTCCCCTGTGACGTCAGGGCGTATGTGGGACGGAACTGGTGTGAAATTTGAAAATGACAAAAAGTGACATTCACTAAATTCACTAAAATCACATAGTAAAACATTACTGTAGCAAACCATTTCACATACATTTTGTCCCTAGTGCTTTGTCCTGTGCCCTGCCTGCATTTTTACTGTTCTTTCTGCCTGGAAACTGAGAAATGTCCATGGCATCCAAAAAGCATCCCTTTAGGTCAAAATCGGTTTTAGACCAGCTAGAGAACAGCGATAGTAAATTAGAACTACTTCCAGAATTGAGTGATAACGATTTGTGGGGAAATTCGTCATCAGACACAGAAAACAAAAAAAGTACCGCTTTGAGCACAGAAATTTGGACATATGGACATAATCAGACCGCTAGGGAGGTTAAAAAGGCTAAAAATTAAACCTACGTAGCTTACGGCCAAACTTAAAAAAGCTATAGATAATAAGAAAAGAGCTTTTATTGAATATAAAAATGAAGGAACGCTATCATCGTGTAAAAATTACAAAGAATATAACAGAATATGCAAAAAGGAAATAAAGGCTGTGAAAATGAATGACAGATTGCAAAAGATAGCAGGACCAACCCCCAAAAATTCTTCAAATGTATTAATAGTAAGAAGGTCCGGTCCGAGCATGTAGGCCCTTTACAAAATAACCTAGAGTGGGTGACTGAGGACAATGAGAAGGCAAATTTATTAAATACCTTCTTCAGCTCTGTGTATACAAAGGAGCATGGGGGAGCTCTTGTCCATAATGGGCATAGTATTCACACAGCTCCAGATGATCCACATTGGCTCACAATTGATATGATCCAAAAATATTTACACAGAATAAAGGTGAATAAAGCACCTGGACCAGATGTCATACACTCACGGGTCCTTAAAGAATTGAGCTCTGTCAAAGCCATTGTTTCTAATTTTTAGGGACTCTTTAATGACTGGCATAGTACCACTGGATTGGCGTAAGGCCAATGTGGTGCCAATATTTAAAAAGGGGTCAAAATCTTTAAGAAGTAATTATAGACCTGTTAGTTTAACTTCTATAGTTGGGAAAATACTGGAGAGTTTAATAAAAGACCACATAGATGAGTTCTTGCTGGAATAAAAATTTTTAAGCAACAGACAGCATGGATTCATGAAAGACAGAAGTTGTCAAACAAATCTGATTTAATTTTATGAGGGGGTGAGCAAAACCTTGGACAGAGGGGTGGCGGTGGACGTGGTATACTTGGATTTTGCAAAAGCGTTTGACACAGTTCCCCACAAACAGCTAATGTGTAAGATAAAGTCTACGGGCTTGGAAAAATCTGTATGTAAATGGATAGAAAACTGGCTAAAAGATCGTATTCAAAGAGTAGTGGTTAATGATTCATACTATGAATGGTCTAGGGTCATCAGTGGTGTGCCCCAAGGTTCAGTGTTGGGTCCCTTACTTTTTAATATATTTAGAAACGATATAGGGTCTGGGATGAAAAATCCCATTTCAGTTTTTCCACATGACACCAAGCTGTGCAGTGGAATAATGTCCTTACAGGATGTCTCCAACTTACAAGCTGACCTCAGTGCACTGTTTAATTGGGCAACTATGTGGCAAATAAGGTTTAATGTTAATAAATGTAAGGCTATGCACTTGGGGGCTAAGAATATGCATGCATCATACATACTAGGGGGAGTACAACGGGGGGAATCAATGGTGGAGAAGGATCTGGGAGTTCTGTTAGATCACAAGCTTAATAATGGCATGCAATGCCAAGCTAAAGCGAGCAAAATCCTCTCTTGTATTAAAAAAGGTATAGACTCCAAAGAGAAAGATATCATATTACCCCTGCACAAATCATTAGTAAAACCTCACCTGGAATATGCAGTTCAGTTTTGGGCACCAATTCAAAAAAAGAACATTGGGGAACTTGGGAAAGTCCAGAGAAGGGCAACCAAACTGATACGAGGCATGGAGGAGATCAGCTATGAGGAAAGATTAGAGGAACTGAATTTATTTCCTCTTGAGAAGAGGAGATTAAGGGGGGGGGATATGATCAACATGTATAAATACACCAGTGGTTCATATAGTGAACTCGGTGTAAAGCTATTCACCCTGAGGTCATCACAGAGGACAAGGGGGCACTATTTACGTCTGGAGGAAAAGAAATATAATCTCCAAACACAGAAAGGTTTTTTCACAGTGAGAGCTGTGAAAATGTGGAATAGACTCCCTCAAGAGTTGGTTCTGGCCAGCTCAGTGGATTGCTTCAAAAAAGACCTGGATTCTTTCTTAGATACACAGAATATAACTGCATACTAACATTTATAGGTAAAGTTGATCCAGGGAATATCCGACTGCCTCTCGGGGGATCAGGAAGGATTTTTTTTTTTTCCAGCAGGAGCAAGTTGGATCATGCTTTGCTGGAGGTTTTTTTTGCCTTCCTCTGGATCTACTGTAGGTATAGGATTATAACTTTTTTTTTCTTTTATGGTTGAACTGGATGGACACTTTCACCCTCTTCCAGTCCAGGCCAATTTACATCTTTCAAAGCTGTTCCACTTTGATGACAATTGCATGGTCATGCAACACTGTACCCATATGAACTTTTTATCATTTTATCACACAGACAGAGATTTCTTTTGGTGGTAGTTAATCACTGTGACGGGAGTGACTTTTGGGGGTGGGGGGACCTCTGTATCATCTCCCCAAATCATTATGTTTAACCCACCCTGTGCCTGTTTAAGGGGTACAGGGTGTGTATGTGAATGTCTGAGTCTTGTGTATAATGTGTGTTCCTTTGTCTAGGCCACATGGCTGTCCATTGTCTGTTTGCCATGTGCTACCCCCCATTGTGCTGTGTCTGCCTGTCCAGCCAACTATTATGGGATGTACTGTTTGTGTATTGGTGTGTGGGGTTGGTTAATGTCCTTTACCATGTGTTTCATCCCATTGTTCTGTGTCTGGGTGGGATGGGGCGGGCTGATGATGTATTTCCTGTTCCTGGTTGTGTTTCCCCGCCCTCTGTATATATTCTGTGTTTTGTGTAAAATAAAGAGTTGGCTTCCTGTATTATGAAGAGCTGGGTATTGTCTATTTTCCAGAGGGATTTCAAGGGTGTGGTCCGTGGATGGTGTTCGGACAGGGGAAGTTGTGCTATAACGGAAAAACTCAGTGCGGTCTGGGTTCCGGTTCCGTTACAATCACCACTGGGTTTTTTCTTTTTTGCTATATAAATGAAAAAATACAGAAAGGTTTGAAAAAAAAAAACATGTTTTGCTTAGTTCTTGGTATAAAATTTTTCAAATAAATAATTTTTCTTCATAAATTTAGGCCAAAATGTATTCTGGTATATTTTTTGGGTAAAAATATCCCAAAGTAGTGTATATTATTTAGTCAGTGTGAAAGTTATAGTCTACAAACTCTGGGATATATACTGCTCAAAAAAATTAAAGGAACACTTTTTAATCAGAGTATAGCATCAAGTCAGTTAAACTCCTGAGATATTGATCTGGTCAGTTAACTAGTTGCCGACCGCAGATAGCTGAATGACGGCTGCACTGCAGCCGGCCAGTTCTGGGTGGACGTCATATGACGTCCTCCCAGAACGCGCTCTCCTGCGCGCCCCAGGGGGCGCGCACCCGGTGATCTCCGTGATCGCTGTGTCCTACGGACACAGCTGATCACGTGATGTGGTAAAAGGTCAATCACAGCAGCCTTTTACCACGTGATCAGCCGTGTCCAATGACACGCTGATCACCGGGAAATACAATTGCCGGTTCTCGGCTACACTTTCCTCACGCTGTCAGATCGTGAGGAAAGTACTGCCGAGAACCGGCAGTTGTCAGAGCAGGGATCGGCACCGATCATCAGGGCACTGATGATCAGTGCCCTGATGATCGGTGCCCAGCAGTGCCACCCACAAGTTCCGCCCACCTGTGCCCAGCAGTGCACCCACTAGCTCTGCCCACCTGTGCCCAGCAGAGCACCCACCTGTGCCCAGCGGATCACCCACCTGTGCCCAGCAGTGCACCCACCTGTGCCACTCTGCAGTGTCACACACCTGTGCCCAGAAGTGCCATCTACCTGTGACCAGCAGTGCCACCCACCTGTGCCCACCCACCTGTGCCCACCAGTGCCACCCACCTGTGCCCACCCACCTGTACCCACCAGTGCCACCCACCTGTGCCCACCCACCAGTGCTGCCCACCAGTGCCACCCACCAGTGCAGCCCAGCAGTGCTGCCAGTCAGTGCCACCAGTCAGTGCCCAGCGGTTGTGCCAGTCAGTGCCGCCAGTCAGTGCCCAGCAGTGATGCCAGTCAGTGCCGTCTATCAGTACCGATCATCAGTGTCACCTATCAGTGCCGCCTATCAGTGCTGCATATTAGTGCCGCCTATCCGTGACACCTCATTAGTGATGCCTATCAGTGCCGCCTATCCGTGCCACCTCATTAGTACTGCCTATAAGTGCCCTTTAGTGCTGCCTATCAGTGCCCATCAGTGCCGCCTATCAGTGCCCATCAGTGCTGCCTCATCAACGCACATCAGTAAAGGAGAAAAATTACCTGTTTGAAAAATTTTATAATAGAAATAAAGAAACTTTTTTTTTCAAATTTTTTGCACTTTTTTTGTTTATAGCGCAAAAAGTAAAGCGTCCAGTGGTGATTAAATACCACCAAAAGAAAGCTCTATTTGTGAGAAAAAAATGATCAAAATTTCATATGGGTACAATGTTGCATGACCGAGCAATTGTCAATCAAAGTGCAGCAGCGCTGAAAGCTGAAAATTGGCCTGGTAAATAAGGGGGTATAAGTACCCGGTAGGCAAGTGGTTAAGTAGCAGAGGGGGTTGTTAATCAGTTTCAGCTGCTTTGGTGTTAATGAAATTAACAACAGGTACACTAGATGGGCAATAATGAGACAACCTGCAAAACAGGAATGCTTTTACTTGTGGAGGCAACTGATATTTTTTTTCTATACTCATCTTTTCTGACTGTTTTTCACTAGTTTTGCATTTGGCTAGGGTCAGTGTCACCACTGGTAGCATGAGGTGATACCTTGACCCTACAGAGGTTGCACAGGCACTCCAGGATGGCACATCAATACATGCCATTGCCTGAAGGTTTGCTGTGTCTCTCAGCACAGTCTCAAGAGCATGGAAGTGATTCCAGGAGACAGGTAGTTACTCTAGGAGAGCTGGACAGGGCCATAGAAGGGTCTTTAACCCATCAGCAGGACCGGTATCTGCTCCTTTGTGCATGGAGGAACAGGATGAGCACTGCTAGAGTCCTACAAAAAGACCTCCAGCATGCCACTGGTGTGAATGTCTCTGACCAAACAATCAGAAACAGACCTGAGGGCCCAACGTCCTCTAGTGGGCCCTGTTCTCACTTCCCGGCACCATAGAGCTCAATTGACATTTGCTATTGAACACCAGAATTGGCAGGTCCACCACTGGCTCCCTGTACTTTTCACAGATGAGCACAGGTTCACCATGAGCACATGTGACAGAAGTGAAAGGGTCTGGAGAAACCATGGAGAACATTATGCTGCCTGAAACATTGTTCAGCATGACCGTTTTATTGGTGGGTCAGTGACGGTTTGGGAAGGCATATCCATGGAGGAACACACAGATCTCTACAGGCTAGACAATGGCACTCTGACTGCCATTAGGTATTGGGATGAAATCCTTGGACCCATTGTCAGACCCTACGCTAGTGCAGTGGGTCTTGGTTCCTCTTGGTACACAACAATGCCCGGATTAATTTGGTGAGAGTTTGCAGGCAGTTCCTGGAGGATGAAGGAATTGATACCACTGAATGGCCCCCACGCTCGCCTGACCTAAATCCAATAGAACACCTCTGGTATATCATGTTTTGGTCCATCCGATGCCACCAGGTTGCACCTCAGACTGTCCAGGAGCTCAGTGATGCCCTGGTCCAGATATGGGAGGAAATACCCCAGGACAACATCTGTCGTCTCATTAAGAGCATGCCCCATTTCATTGTTTCTATAATTTTTTTTTCTTCCATGCTCTATTACAATTGCAAGGGTCTAATAAGCAATAGTTTTCTTTTTTTTATAAATGCATGTAACTGTACAACAAAAAATAATTAAACAAATACAGAAAAAGGAATGAAACACAAGAAGAAATTATTGTCATGAATATAATCATTGCATGTACTAACTGTATAAAGTTATCAAAATGAAATATATTTGCCCTTTAAAATGAATGTTAGGTTTGTATGCAGTATAAACATAGATTGTAATTAATGCTTATTGTTACATGCATATTTTTTACCACCTGTTACAGAACCAAGCCTTTAATTAGGATGCAGTGTTGAGAGATAAATTACCAGCCTTGGATATAGACTCTAGACTACTAGAAGATGCTTCTGTCTTTGAAAAGACTGCTACAATTTTCTTAATAACCAATCCTACATACATGGCAAAGGGATCATGGCCTTTTCATATGACACTAGGAATGACCAGGACATGACTGCTCTCTGAAATTGATTCAATTTCATTTTATGTTCCCTACACTACCTTTTGTCACCAGAAGTACTACTATGATGGTTATGACACCAAACTTTAACTAGTGAGAAAAGTAATCTACAAATTAGAATTGTGAATAATGTTATCTAACTAAATACAGTATATGAATATAAATCTGTCCAATCAGAAAATTCATCACAATCACAACTGTCAAGATTCCTGAACTGTGTGATCCCTTTGCAGTCAGACAGATCAGTATGCAAATATTTAGACAAGTCAAGAATGTGCAAGTTGCTTATTAACATAATACAGTCTAAGTTTACATAAGGTATGTATTCTGAGCACCCGCATATTTCCTAAATTTAGTTAATAAAGAAAACTCCACAATTAAATTGAAATTCATATGCAAACCATATTTATCAAAAATAGAAATTTGAAGTAAATATGTAACATGCTGATAGTAAACAAAGTAGAGCTTCATAGCAGACACCTGCAGTTGCATAGCAGTGCGCCACTGAAGCCCATAAGGATCCTAAGCATATACTGGCTTCCTAAAGGGATGCATTTGCATAGAACTAGGCTTGCCACTCATAATCCATGGGACAATTGGACACTGACTCCAAGTACTTAATTGTGAAATATGAAAGGTACATATTTATTCTATACGCCTCTATGTTTAGGCTTTTCAAGAGGCTCCAGTGACACATTGGGGGAGCAAGCTTCCACTGTTAAGATAAGATGCGGCGAAGAGGGTGCCTGCTATAAAGCTGTAAAGTTGTCTTACATGATAATACATAGCATATGCATTGTTAGATTTTCCTTACTGAAATAATCCTTGATATTACATTGCAATGAAACATGAACTGGGGAGCTAACTGCCAGTATGAAACTTAGGGCAGGTACAATCCCCACAGACAACCTACTCACCCTATTTGAAAGTATTTGTATGTTTTAAATACATAAAAATATTTTCTACCAAAAAAAACTCTAAGGGTAGAATTATTTCAAATGAACTAGTGGTGAGTAAAAGTTACCTTAAAAGTCACTCGAGGTGCCTGGACATCATTCTGGGTACCAAGAATCCTGTCCAGCTTCCCTATTCAAGAACCTGACCCTACACTCTGCCTTGCTGCATTGTTGGCCAGTCACTGTGCTCTGTGTCTTTTACCATCCAATAATACAGAATGAGAAAACAACAAGTAGCCCTTGTGTGAAAGACCAATCCACCCAGGATTGCCATCACACTAATGTGTGTTGCTGACACCGAATGGGTGGATGGGCCAGATTTGTTCTCATCTTGGCAGATCCTTTAGCCCTCAATGGGCCATTTCAACTCTGCTTGCAGATGACATTATTCAGCTTACCTCTATACCCACCAGCCACCTTCTTAGGTACACCTGTTTGATCATGCAAATGGACAAATCAATATACAAAGTATCTATGTATGTTCAAGAGGTTAGTTATTGTTTTAAACAAAGATTAGAATAAATGAATGCAGAATATGGGCTATGTTGACCACATAATGATTGCTGAGGCCAGATATGATGGTAAAAGCATCTCAGAAAATCGCATCCTTACACATTTTATTGTAGTCTCTATAGTTTAAAGAAAATGGTGCAAACAACAGGAAAGTAAGTGATGGTTTTATGGGAAAAGCATCTAGTCAATGAGAAAGATCAGGGGAGTATGCCAAACCTACTTAAAATGATAGGAAGTCATCTGTTCCAACAACCACCTTTTATATCAGGAATACTGAGAAAAGGGACAGATGCTGGAGTTAGTTCTTGATCAATGTATATAAGCTTGAGATCAGGGACTTGGGTTACATATATTGTACATAATGTCTGATGTTTACAGCAGCCTTGAAAGTCAAATGGTTCTAAAATTCAAAATTATCTTGTTGATTGGTAGCACAGAAAGTGGAAACTGACAAAAAAACAAGACTAGCTCAAAGTAATACATTTTAGAGAAGAATTTGTGGTTCAGGCCATCTGATGGCTTAGTTTCCAAAAACTGGCAAGATATGGGCACTTAACGATGGAATGCCAGAATACCTTGTCTTCTGCCTTGTCCTCTAAAGAATCAATCCAAGTTTCAATGTCTGAACCCAACACCTGATACTTTGCCAAGTAGACTGAAGACCTGGGGCAATCAACTACAGAAGGATACAGGCTGGCAAATGGTGCTGTTCTCAGAACATCTCTAGTGCATAGCATAAAGGAACAAGCTAGAGATGCTCTGAGAGGCTGCCTGGTAGTCTCTCTGTAAGACAGTACATTTGTGCGAGGACAGCATGATGATGAAGGTTTTAAACAAGGAATTAAGATCAGACCGTGTGTATTTACTCTAACATGTTAACATTTTCCTATTTTCCATACAGTTTTGATCACCAATCCTCAGGAAGGATGTTCTTGAACTGGAGAGAGTCCAGAAAAGGGCAACAAAGCTAATATGGGGGCTGGAGGACCTCAGTTATGTTAAAAACATTCTTCCTGGAAGGAACTTAAGAGGAAATATGATCACAATATCCAGTTCTTTAAATTGGGACTGTATCCTTAGGATAAAACTGTTTCATTTAAGGTCTCTAAAGAAGCTACGCGGCCACACAATGAAGATGATAATCATTTCAACTTCATACTGCGTAA